GGGTGTCTGCTTCTCCTTTTGCCTGCCGCTCCCCCTGCTTGTGCTCTCGCTCTCTCTGTCAAATAAATAAATGCAATCTTTAAAAAAAATAAAATCACAATCAGTGGTGAAGGCTCAAATAAAATTTCAGTTAGTAGAAGAGAAACAGCTTTGGGGCATCTGGATGGCTCAGTCATTAAGTGTCTGCCTTCGGCTCAGGTCATGATCCCAGGGTCCTGAGACTGACTCCCGCATCAGGCTCCCTGCTTGGCAGGGAGTCTGCTTCTCCCTCTCCCACTCCCCCTGTTCGTGTTCCCTCTTTTGCTGTGTTTCTCTCTGTCAAATAAATAAATTCTTTAAAAATAAAAATAAAAAAGATTTAAAAAAATTTTTTAAAAAAAGCTTAGTTTGTGTTAGTTACTCAGCATTGTAAATCTGTGCCCTTCGTAGCAAATGTAAAATTCTTGGGTGCCTTTCTACCCCCTGAGATGGAGGGCATATTTCGTCTTTATTGAAGCCCCCGTTTCCCCAAGCTACCTTAAGTCCCTGAGCTCCAGCTTGAGAATCCCCAACCACACGATGCCCGATGTGGCTTTTCCTCGTGATGCGGTAGATGTCCAAGCTGGACTCGTTCCCACTGCCCCCCACCCCCCAGCAAGCTGTCTGAGACACTTCTAACTCCTTTGTTAACATGTCAGACGTGGGAGTCCCACGCAGGCACCTGCTGTCTCCCGACGTGTAACCGTTTTGGTGTGTCTGCTCTCCTCCTGCTTCTGGCTTCTTGTGCCCCCTCAGCTGAGAGGATCGAATTGCTTGGTTTGTTACAGTCCAAAAGGGAGCATCCCTGTTGATCGGCCTGGGTGTTGTGCACTGATCTCAGTGGTAGCTGCGGGGGAAACAGGGTCAGTATTGTACAGGACACGAGGCTTTGAACTTTAAGAACTGCTGGCCCCTTTCCTCAGGAGGAGGCACTTTGAGCTGTCAGCCTGCGTGTTATGCATAGTTCTACTCAAACCCCCCAACGCCAGTGTATTTCGTTCCTCTGGTCTCTACCCCCAAGAAACTCCCTCTTCTTTTAGACCTAAGGCCACCTCCGTTTGACAGTCTCCATCTCCTTCTTAAGGACTCTACGCAAGAATCAATTCTCCTGTGAAGCCAGAAGCACACGGAGTCAGGATCCAAGCTCTACGGAGCAGTGATGATTTCTTAAAAACAATGAAGCGTGGATCACTACATCAAAAACTAATGATGTATGGTGACTGACATAACATTATAAAATAAAATT